GAGGGGAGAGGGGGCAGAATCGGGAGGGAGTTAAGCTTCCTGACAGCCTGATGGATGAAGCTGTCCTTCAGCCTGCTGGTCCTGGCCTGGAGACTCCGCAGTCTCCTCCCCGACGGCAGCAGCTTGAAGAAGCTTTGCATTGGGTGCGTGGGATCAGCCGCTATGCAAAGGGCGGATGATCCTTTGGTTAGCTTATCAATCACATTACAGCAACTTAGTGCATTTACACTTGTCAAGATGGCCTGCAGAAGATCAGGAAAGAAATGTGATTTAAGTGACTTTGAATGTTGTGTCCTTGTTGGTGCCAGACAGACTGGTCCGAATTTGTTCAGAAACTGGTCTACTGGGCTTTTCCCACACATCTAACCCTAGGGTTTACAGAGAACTGTCTGGAAATGACTAAAAAGACTAATAGTTTTACTTTGAAATTCAGATTGTAGATTGAATTTGATGGAAAGAACAAGAAACCATGGATCCATCCTGCCTTGCATGGAAGGATGGATGCTGGTGTGAGCATCATTTAAACACCACAATCTGCCTACCTGAGGGGGTTCTGACCAGGTCTTGTTAACTTGTAAAAGCTTATGGGACATTTTGTATTTCACCATTTATTAACTGCACAGAGAAGGCATTGTTTACATAGTTAGTTTTCTTTAAGCAAAAAGTATTATTAAAGTTCTTTATGTCCTCTTTTTTGGAAATCAAAATATAGTCACCCTATCCAAATAGATCTTTTGAAACCTAGTCTTGAGGTTTCAAAATATGCAGTACATCTTGATGTCTTGAAAGGGGTCACAGTGACTGCATCCACTTTTAATATAGAGTCTATGTTAGAGCATAGGGAAGCACTTTCATCCATAGCCATGATTACTTCCATGTTGCTGGCCAGTATGCTCTCAATATAGTTATAATTTGTACTCTTTTTTATTTTAAATACCCTGTCGTTATCCGGTACCCAGAAAGTATATTTATTTCCTTGAAAGCTCCCATTTGTTCTGCCGTCGATTTCTCTAACCAGGGGTTTCTCTGAACACCAGCAGTGCGAGAAGAACGCCGGTTCGTGAACGCGCCGCGCACCGCCTCTACCTTGCGCATGCGCTCTAGCTCCAAATCTTCGGGAAAAGTTTACAAACAATGGCTGAGGAGCAACCTCCAGCATGCGACGAAACGCCCGTCCCCCTTCTCCTAATGCCAGCGAACACAACAGAGCCAGTTAAAGAGAAGGTTCCCGACAAGCAGCGAGCTGAAACGAAAGCGTTAGCCCGAGACAAAAACAGACTAAACATTGGAGCTGTTTTTCACAGGTGGAAGCACGTACGGGAACAGAGAGGATTCAAAACAGATGCAGAGTTCGCCACATTTCTGCTGGACAGGTAGTTACCTGTGCTTGAATCGTGTTTAAGGTAGCTAAGATGTCAAATGTAACACGCCGTGCTCTATCACTGTCGTGTTGTAGTCAAGCTAACGTTAGCGTCATCATAAAGCTAAAGTCACTGAGTAGCATAGGGGTTTTGTTTTAACTATGAGTATCTGGTAGTAGTCCAGCTGCAGCCACTGACCGAGTGCTGTGAGATGGGCGTTTCCTGATTAGGCTCAGGGGGTGTGTCCTGCAGGATTTGCGACGCAACAGCTAGACGGTATAGCGAAGAGGGAAGTGATTGGTCCCTGGCTTGCAAAGCACATAGGCACACAAAGGTAGTTTCTGATTTAACAGTTACCGGAAAAGAAAGTAAAACAAATAAAGTACAGCAGTGAGGGTTTTTATTTTTTTTTTGTATTGCTTTGTTTTTTTTCTTTAAAACACTGTTGGACTTTTTAATTAAAGCTCCGAATGATGTTTGAAACATTTGTTCAGTTTGTTAGTGTGTCTTTAAGCAGCCTTTCTTTACAAATCAGAAACTGTTTAAACAAATAAACTAGTCCAGATTTGGTCAGTGTAGTAGTTTTTGATCTGGTCTCGCTCTGATGTGGGCTGTGAGAAAAGAACATAATAAATGCCTCCATAACTTAGAGCGATGGTTTCAGCTGTGTTAATAGTTAACCCTCAAATGTATGTTGCACTTCTACAAGATTTACAGTACTATGTAAAAGTATTTGCCGCCTCCCTGATTTCTGAGAATTTTACATATTTGTCAAATGTTGAAGAGTTGCATCATCAATACATTTTAATATTAGACAAAGATAACCTCAGTTAATAAAAAACGCAGTTTTAAAATGATGATTTAATTTATTGACAGCATTTCTGAATGGAAAGGTTTCAGAAGCTGTGACCACATGGAAATGGCACACAACGTGGCACCTTTAATTTAACTTATGCTGGGTGCAGCTTGTTGAAAAGCAGCGTGTGCAAGCCTGCACTGACATGTGAAACAGGGTATAAAGCAGCGTATATTGTGTTCATCAGTGTTTTATTGGGTCGTAACTGTCTAATAATATATTTTGCATTTTACAAAATATGAACAGGACAGAGGAAATTACTTGTTTTCCACGTGAGTACAAAGGACATGGTTCGACATCAGAAGAGGAAACGGCAAAAGGGGATGGTTGCTATGATGACAGCGATGATCAGGATTACGTTCCCCCTGTACATGTTCGGTAAGCTCTGAACCAGAAGTTTGTATCAATAAAAATGACTTTTTTTCATGACCTTTTCTTATTCCTACAGCGCTGGCTGCCTGAGTGCTCCCAAGTCGGTCACCAAACAGGTCCCCGTGCATGATGCTGTAGATGCAGAACAAACAGAACAGCCACCAGGAGCAGAAACAATCCACGTTCAGAGTGAGGACAGCAACACTGGTCATACTGGATTCATTATTTAGTCATGATTTTCTGGAAAACGGTCAGGTTTTCTGTGTAACCTTGTTAGTGGTTGTAATATAATAATGGGTTTGTTTATATAGGAAACAAGCCTTACCATCTGCTTGGAAACCAACACAAGGTTTGGAGAAAATGCATCCTGTAGATGTTAAAAATCCCACCATTTCACAGCAAACACTGCTTTCAAGCAAGAGAATTTAAAGCTCTTTGTGTGTTCACAGGATCAGGAGCAAAAACCTGAAAACACCTGTTCAGCAGATCAGTCTTCCCGGACACCAGGGGCTTCCTCCAGACCTCCATCGTATGAGCTGGAGCTCACGCCATCTGTCTCACATCACAACGTGCCAAAGAAAATAAACCGGAATGAGACGAACACTGATGAAAATCCCAGTGAAGACCACAGACCTGAAACACAGGATCACAGCACGGCACCCACAGGTGATGGAGTGTTATTAAAATGTATTAAAAAGACTGACAGACAGTACATGTGTTGCATAAGATGAAGCTAAAAATCATGTTCATGTCTTGGGCTTCACCAACATTCATTATGAAAGATGGTCCTTCTTTTTGTGGTACACATATGAATATTATTTTGAGCTTCATTTAATTTGTGGTTTAACTTCTTGCCTTCTGTTAGAAAGATATCAAAAGTAACAGACAGTCGATTTTCTGTCTTCTCCCTTTTTTATGCTTTATATGTCTGAAAACTATTGAAATAAGAGAAAGATCTACACACACTTTAATATCATAATTTGATTATAAATGGAAACCATACACACACAGTGCATGCAGTGCAACAACTTCACACTGATATTTCTGTATTTTGAGGAGAAACTCTCACTCTAGAACCTACCAGTGTACAGAGCAGCTCCCAGGAGCTTTGTAAACCAAAGAAGACGTACTACTGCCCGACCTGCGAAAGAGTGTTCCCCCGGCACAACGCCCTGAAACGACACCTCGTGATTCACTCGGGAAAAAGACCTTTCAAATGCTTCATATGTGGGAGAGGATTCACCCAGGGTGGAAACCTCAAGACACACATGAAAGTTCACAGAGGTGAGAGGAACCTCCCGCTGTGCTCAGGACACTTTAACCTGTTTCAGTTAGATGTTTGTGGCAGTTGAAAATCCTCTTTACTCATCTTTTACCGAGCTGCACAAAGAACAGTTAAAAAATGTATGGACTGCTGAGTAGACTCGACTGGTATCACGGTTTTGTTGAATACCTGGGTGTTTAGGCATTTTGATGTTTTGATGGTTTTCAGTACTTTCAAAAATACAGCTGCTCAGTCTCTACTGGTCGAACAAGCATGAGCTGTGTAAAGATTACAGTCAGTTTAATTTAAAAAAAAAAAATAGTGTTCACTCATAAATAGAATAATATCTTCCAAAAAATTGATGCACTCTCCTAAACTTAAAAAAATCCATTAAAAATGCATGAGAGCGGACGCCGATTTGTAGATGCCGCCATATTGCCCCACCAACTTGACTATAGTGGGCGAGATAGACATCGCTGCTCCACCTAATCTCATTGTGGCTGTATGACCAACCACATTTGTATTAGGCCAACAGTCGGGGAGAAAAAAACTCATAGGTGTCCTTTTAATTGGTGTCTGCAACCGTTAGATTCAAGATAAAAAAGCATCATAACTTGCTGACGAGAACAACAACAATTTTCCAAGAGATATGATGATGAGAACGAACTGTCTCTCTTGCCCAATCCCTCGAGGCCACCTGCGTAGGCTGCGGACTGTTGATCTTCGCCTAATGGGCGAAAGGACACTTTCTCAGGCTGAACTGGTATGCCAACAGCTGTGCACATTGGCATACCCCCCCATGTTGCTTGTCTTGTGTTTTTATGGTGTTACGATGTGATATTTGTGCTTTTTATGTGCTGGAGTTTTTGTCTTCTCCTCATGCTGACTCCTTTTAAGGATCAGTATGAGCAGAAATTCTTTTTTTTCTCCTGATCTGACCTTTTGTTTTATAGATTTCATTGTTTTTCCTTTTGCTACCTAGCCTGACCTGTCTCCCTAGCGTGAAGTTGTGTATTGTAAGTACGGTCGGCAAGGTTTGTTATCTCAGTTGCAGGCAACTGCAACTGAGAAACAAATGCATTATCCAATCCAATCCAATAACTGTGTTTTATCATCTGAGAAAGGGTGCCAAAGAAACAAAAACATAAAGGAAAGAGAAAACATGATCAGCATCTGGACAAAATGTCATCTTCTTCCTCCTCAACTCTGACCTCTAAGCCGTCAGCAGAAGTCAGGCCTTTTAACACATGAAAATATCCGTGAACATGCTTATTTATTCTCAATATTGTCACAATTAATTATTGTCAGCAGATTAAATATGTGATCCTCCCGTCTCCAGACAGTGAACAACACTGATAAACAGTTTGATCACAATCACTGAGCATCAGAGTCCAACAAAGTCAAAGAAAGTTTCACTAATCCTGGCTAACAGCAGCTAACAGAGGTTAACAGCCGCTAACAACAGCAGCAGCTTACCAACAGAAAAGTTCAGGATATCCAACAACTCGCCTAAGTATTGCTATCATCGTATAGAGGTGAGTTTCAATGAGTCATTGACTCATATCGGACTACTTTTAAAAAGTATTTTTTAATTCAGTTGACTGCAGTCAGCAATCTACTAGTGAGATTTTACACGCTGTACCCTTACTTTATTCAACTGGAAAAAAAACAAAAAAAATCATCCAATTAAAAACAATTACATCATCTTCGTTCAGCCAAATGCTGGTTGGTAGTTTCCACATAGCAGGATGAGTCATCAGTTTCTTCAGCAAATGTAATGAGAACTTAGTGTGAACTCAACAAAACAATCAATGCCTCGACCCAAGTTTTTCAAGCAGAGGCTCTCACTGTGTAACATCATGAGCAATTTTATTCAGTTCACCTGGCTGTGAACTTGAGGTTTTGTTTTTTTTGTTTTTTTTTGTTTGTTTACTTTATTTTTAATTGTGTACATGCTTGTATTTTTCACAGGAGAGTTACCAAAGTGGACATTAATTGAAGAGAAGAGCGAGCCTAAAGCATCTCCTGCTACAGTTCACATGTGTGGGGAGTGTGGAATGGACTTCCCTGAGAAACATAAGCTAGAGGAACACCGCGAGATTCACTGGAAGCCTTTTGCATGTCCTGACTGTGGGAAGAGATTCAAACATAATAAGAGTGTTAAAATGCATATGCGCCTCCACTCAGGAGATTTACCTTATCTCTGTTCAGAGTGTGGGAAGACTTGTGTCACGATGGAAATGCTTAAAAAACACAAGTTAACTCATACCGGAGAAAAGAACTACCACTGTGATCAGTGTGGGAGGGCATTTTTGCAATCTTACAACCTCAATTTGCACCTGAAGACTCACACCGGAGAGCGATCTTTTCTGTGCTCGATCTGTGGGAAACGTTACTCCAGAGCAGATACCCTAAAAGTTCACCTGAGAGTTCACACCGGAGAGAACCCGTATGCGTGTAAGATATGTGGGAAGTGTTTCTATTACAATCAGGGCTATCAAGCGCATGTGAAGATTCATGACAAGAAGCCAAAAACATCCATGAGAACTTTGGGGAGACCGAAACAGCAGCTGATAGTGGTAAACAAACAGTAATGTGATCAAGAACATTTACAGCAGTCTGAGAAGCCTTTGATTATTAAACCTAAACAAAGACATATACTCCTTTCTGTTAATCTGACTTCTGAGCTTCAAGAGATATATGCATACTTATGAATGTGGCACAATGGCATTAATCTGATGTTTAATAATTACCCTAAAATGGAGACAGGATTGGTCAAGATTGTCTGATCCATTGATTAAAGTCCCGTAATCGCACATACAGTGTGGCCTCTGTTTTAAAGAGCTGATGACAAGCCTCTGACCTCGTGCATTATGTATGCCAATTGATTTATCTTTATATCTCGCAAGTAGTACGCAATACTGTGCAAGTACAGTGTCTCGTCCCATCAGTGTTGTAATGAACGTAGCAGTCTGTTGTCACTTTAACAGATTCATCAAGCCAGCAATGTTACATATCCAGTGTCTGAAAAGAGTTAATTTGAAATAAAATCTCTCGGATGACTCAAGTAGAAAAAGTATTCCTGTAGTATATTTTGTATGGTCACTTCCATTGTCTGTAGTTTGGTCAATGGTTCTTAAAAAAAAACAAGTTCTTTGTATTTTTGGTTCATCCAAACTTGATCGTTGGATTAGAGTTAATGAAACATGACAATGAGCACATTTGAAATGTGGTGGATTGGGAGAGTTGCATCACGGATGTGCAGCCAACATATCTGCAGCAACTGTGTGATGCTATCATGTCAACATGGACCAAAATCTCTGAGGAATGTTACAAACACCTTGTTGACCTTCCTAATGTTGTAAACCTGCTCAACATTTGGCAATAAAAACCCTTTCTGATTCTGATTCTGATTCTTGAATTTGTGCCACAAAGAATGAAGGCAGTTCTGAAGGTAAAAAGGCCGTCCAACGTGGTACTGAAAAGGTGTGTTTGGCTTCCAGAAAGATTTTAGGTTATCTTATGCATAGACTTTCTAACCCAGGTACATTAATGTTATTAAAGCGATAGGCATGGTCATAGTGCATAGGTAGGCTTTGAACAATGCTCAGTTGGTACGGAGAGACCTGAAGTGTGCCAAAAATATATTCCCATGTCATTACATCATACCAGGATGGATGCTTTCATGCGGTTTACAACAAGTTCTGACACTACTGTCCAAATGAAGACTTGTCAGATCAGGCAACATTTCTTCAATCTTCTAATATCTAATTTTGGTGAGCCTTGATGTCAGGAGTGACACCTGGTGTGTTCTTGAAAGCTGTAACACAACCGCTTCAAAATGATAAGTGTGCATTCAGAGATGCTCTTCTGCATACCTTGGTTGTAATGAGTGGCTGAGTTACTATTGCCTTTCTAGCAGTTTGCAGCAGCCTGGTTATTCTCTTATGACATCAACAAAGCATTTTCACCCAGAGAACTGCCGCTCACAGGATATTTTCTCTTTTTTCTAACAGTGTCCAATTCAAAAACACTTAAATTGGCTTTCTTCCTCATTGAGTTTGAAGTGATTTGATGCTCTTCTTCAACATGTCTACATGCCTGAATGCACTGAGTTGTTTCCATGCGACTGGGTGAATTTATATTTATAAGTTGTTGACAAGGTTTACCTAATGAAATGGCCAGTGCTCGATCTGTAACATTATTCACATGCATTTGACATTTGCAGCACTTGAAAAGTAAAAAAAAAAGTTGTATGTAAATAGAGACATAATTTAATGCGTCATAGCAGAAGCTCGTGAATGTATTAATCTTTGTATGTTGCATGTATTAGTGCAGTGCAGCAGAGAATTACAATAGTTACACCTGTGCTTGACGATCCTCTTCTATTTGAATATTTAAGGAATGACTGACTGCAGTGCGGTTTTAACACATTTCAAAACGGTTTTGCATGTTTGCGAATTGACAAAAAAGCTCCACGAAATGTTATTACCGAGGCTTTTATTGTGATTTAAAAGGCCAACCGGAAGTTCCGACGATACTTGAAGCTAGAAGCTAAAGCTAGAAAGGTTGTCATCAAATCCAGACGCTTATTTGCCGTAACTCATTAGTTGACATTAATTTGACACTGTGTGAACACATGAACATGAACCCAAGGGAGACGTAGAAATATTTCCAGGTCGTCTCCATAAACTTCTGTCGAGCGACTACTTTTTTACCTGGGGGAAAAATCTATACAGAGGTTGGTCAAAATGTCTATTGTCTGTTGTTAAGTGTTAGCTAGCTGAGTTAGCGTCGTTTGCAGAGCTTAGGGGGAGTCTGCGCAAATCTATCACTTTTAACGTCGGAGCATGAGACGGTGGGACCTGTTATTAGTTGCTGAATATCGGTTGTAGCTTAAGGGGGCTGATAGCTACCTGCTAAGATGAGCATAGCTGGTAAACGTTAGTGGCTAGCTGTTTAATAACAGTAGATGGAGGCAGAGATGGTGGCTGACCAAAGCGCTGGTCACCGCCGCGTCACGACTCACAGGCATCATTCAGCCTGAGGTCAAACTGTCTGTACTACTGTGTGCGTCTGCTCCGGCTGAGATGGCTATTCATTGCCACGACTTATATACACCAACAGGTCAGTCAGTCAGGCTGCTGCTTAACTTAAGTCAACATTAATATGACACTTCATGGATGAGACACATTAGCCCCTCCGAGCTAATGCTACTGAGCTAGCCGAGACACTCAGTTGACACAGATCTATGAGTACAGCTTCCCCTACTGCAGACCACTTCAGAGCTTGCTGAATTATTTTATTTATTTATTTTTACACAAAATTCACAGTAATATAGGTCACTGAAGAGGCAGCTCAGATTTAAAGGCCCAGCCCGGTTCACCTCCTCTACAGAGCAGCATCTAAGCTGCCCAAGTGTCCTTGAGCAGGACGATGGAGGCAGTTTGCTCACTGTGACAAGAATGCCTTTATTACTCAGATCCATCTGTCGATGGATCTAAGCTTAAGCAGACTGCAACCAAATGAAGAGAACATCAGTCACTATGTGAGCCCCAGTGGGTTATTTGTGGCATTAAATGAATCAACCTAATGAGGTAATCACAGCTGGGTTAAATAAAAATCTGTGGCTCATTATGAAATGTAATAACATCAGAAACAACACTGTAATCATTTGAGATGCCCCACTTGTGAATTTATGTACCCATACTAGTTTTTAATACCAGTGTTTTTTTCTTTAGCTGTTATTCCGTCTTTTGTGCCAGAGAAATAAATAAATCTTAATTTTAAAAAAACAAACAAACATCTTTCTGCTCTTCATCACACTGTCTTTGAACATTTAGCCACCACAAAATTGATGACACAACAGATAAACATCGGCTACTGCCAACAGTAAATCTCATCATCTGCCAATCGCAGTCAGCAAGAACACTGGCCAAGGCCGATGTCTGCCTGATATATTATTGCATTTGTAATACACATCTATTTTATTGCTGCCAGTATGTCATGCTTAATTCTGATAAACATTTAATCCTAATAAGAAGTACCTTGAATATGGTTTCTTCAAAGAAATATGTTTTCTGTGTGGTCTGTGCTTGTAACATTTGTAATCGTTATCACCCAAGTAAACAACTTATATACACACAATAATTTTTTTCCTTTTCTTCACAATGTGCTGATCCAAATCAGGAAATGAGAGAAAATTATATTTATGATAAATAAAACTACTCAGGAAGCCAAATCAGGGAATTATGTTTATATGTCCCTTTGTAGTGTAATGCTAAAATACTTGTTATGTTTTTGCTCTCATTATTTCAAATACATGTTTTAGACCTATAATATAGGGGCCAAAAGGAAAGAGTCTAAAACAAGTCTGATGCTTTGAGCCAACTGCAGACAGTAGTTTGGTGTGAACTATTACTTTGGTGTTTGTTTACTGACAGTTATTCACCTTTATCAGGCTGTATATTTGAGAGATGGGCTCTGAAAACCCAGAAGACTTTGGTTCAGTTGTGATCCTTACTGAAGATGATCAGCAAGAGATTGGAGGGCTGATCAACTCTGATGGTGAAGAAGTGGATTTCTCAGATCTGAGTGAGTAAAAAAAACAGCAAAAATTAACCACCGACAAGAAAAATAGAAACTAGCGATGTTTTAAATACTGTGTGAGTCGTAGGAGTTTTGATTCTTGTGGTTTGTGGTGATTTCCTGTGTGAGGCATGTACCTTCCTTTATTATTCAGTGTAATTCAACACAGTAGCAGTATAACTGTGTGCTGAAAATTGGAAGTTCTCACGTTAGGCGCATTTGTTAATCTAATTAACTGGACAGAGAGTGTCATCTGTGCATGTCCTCTCCTCATTAATGGCCTATCAGAAAAGGCATTTTTGGCTTTCTTTCTCTCAGATTTAGTTAGTTTCAAAGAAAGTACAGTTTTACACCTGCAGTGTTTATTCTGTTTAAAATCAGACTGTGGTTTGTTGCAGTTTGTTTGTGCAGATGTGAACATGGTGATCGCACGCTGGTGTGGATGAAAACAGCTGGACCGAGACCCTTGGTCTCAGTTCAATTCCAAACAAACTGTAAAGCGTTTCATTTATAGCATGAATGCAATCTGACCCAGCTACCAGATATATGTTGCAAGTTAGAGCTAAACACTTCACTTTAGCCATGTATGCATTGCATTCTGGGATGCGGACGGGTACCATAGTACATCAGTACGGCCTATTAAGTAGCTGTGATATGAGCATAAATTCTCCATGTTCTCCACTCATCCAGAACACAGCACCTTCTTCCTGTATTTACTTTCAGGAAATAAGTGGACTGGATATTGTCACATGGTCTGTAGTGATACATTTGGTTCCTCTGTGTGAAAAGAAACCAAATCACAGGAAAAAGCTACAAGTTTACAAACTCATAAACTGATTTACACCAGAGTAAACAAACTATAGATGGAAAAATGCTCTAATATACTTCTCAAGAAGAATTATTTCCAAAGGTCCCGCAGCTGCTCCGATCTGCCACTAGTTTGTCTTTTTGTTTTTTTGAAGAAGCATAGCCTGCTTCTGAAATTGTTAAATAAATTGGTAAGAGAAAAACTAAAATAAATGAATATAGCCACTTTTGGATTTTGGCAAAAAAAGTAGTGATAATGTTTGATCTAAGATGGGGAAGAATCCATCACTTTTGACCATCTTCACAAAGTGTGTCTGAGTTTATTAGATAATTAATTTTTTTTTGGCAATCAGCTCAGTTGGTTCAGAATTTTAATGTTGGTCATGAATCATGTGACTGTGTATTTGGTGACGATCAGAGAGAACTATGCGATCCATGATTAGTTTGACTAGTGAGCAATCCTCTTGCTCTCATTTTGATTGCTCAGTGGCTGCTAATCAGCCGGCCCCGGCGCTTCCTGTCTCGTGTGTCCATGTCTGCAGGCTGGTTACGTTGCTGTTGATATCCTAAAGCTGTCTCTCCAGAGAGTCTCTTCCTCCACGGTAAGACAGATGCCAGCTTCACTGACAGAACTTATTGTACGGTCCAAATGAGGACCATCTTCAGCAGCTACATTCGAAGGACGTGGAGCTGGAATCTGTGTGCAGGATGAAAGCTCATTGGAGAGGCTACTGACTCTATTGTTTAATTTTTTAGTTATTTGGTAACTGTTTCAAAATTAAATATTGGCAGTTCCCTCGCCCAGTCAGCTTTATAGACAACATCTGAGAAACCTGATTTCTGAAGTGCTTCTAAGCATGGTGTTAGTTGTTCACACAGAGTCTTGGTTGCTGATCTGTTCTTTGTGTTTCCACAGGAGTGAGTGCCATCCCTGCAGATGCTCCCTCAAAGACATTTGGTCCAAGTGAGAATGAAAAACCGCCTTCTCTTCACACCTGCTCAGTATGTGGGAAAGACTTTCCTTATGCCTCTAAGCTTCAGCGTCACCTACGTACTCATTCGGGAGAGAGGCCTTTCCCGTGCTCCATGTGTGAGAAGAGATTTCCAGAAAAGGGGCTTCTCATGATCCATGAAAGGGTTCACACTGGGGAAAAGCCATTCCCTTGCACTTTCTGTGAGAAAAGATTTGCCAGTCAGGGGGAGCTCCGGCTACACCGGCGGACACACACTGGTGAGAGGCCTTACCACTGCTCCATCTGTCTAAAGAGCTTTTCTCGTCACTGGCACTTGAAAACGCACTTGGAGGCAATGCACTCTGAGGTTGTTGCAGGCTTTACGAGGAAGAAATTTCCCTGTTCAGACTGTGAGAAAAGCTGTAACTCAGCTGCTGAATTGAGGGATCATCAGAGGACTCACACTGGAGAAAGACCCTTCCAGTGCTCTTTCTGTGACAAACGCTTCGCCTTGTCAGGTACGCTTGTAAGACACGAGCGCCTCCATACTGGCATCACGCCTTACCACTGCTCTGACTGCGGAAAGACATTTGCACAGCAGTGGACCCTGACCACACACATGCGGACTCACACGGGAGAGAAACCTTACAGCTGCACGCAGTGCGATAAGTCTTTTGTTGCTCCTGGAGAGCTTCGGAGGCACACCAGGATTCACACTGGGGAAAAGCCATACACCTGCGCAGACTGTGGGAGGCACTTCTCATTGGCAGGAACTCTCAGAAACCATAAACGGTCATGCACACAGAGCAAGAAAGAGTCAGATACAGAGGTTGTGTCAGACTTAGTTCGGGCTGCAGCTGAAGAATCTTCCCAGCGAGATCAGGCCAGCAGCATCAGCTCTGAGGTAGTGGCAGTACACAGATATTCAAAAGTAGTATCTCTGTGTTTTATTTACTTCCATTTCTTCTTCTGAAATTGTGTTTTTAGGTGTCTGTCAGTCAGACTGTGCCTTGTGCAACTGAGCCCACTTCCTCAGAGGGTTTTAAAAAAGCAGCTCAGTGTGAAAATACCCCAGAAGGACCCATCGGCCAGCCGGACGACACTGCTCCCACCCCACATATGAATGTAATCGTGAAAGAGGAGGAAGAAGAGGAACCATTGTGCGGTAAGTAAACATGACATTCCAGAGTGTCTTTTTACGCATTAAGAGGAGTGTAAACATGTTTGATCAGCAGTGCTGTTTTTGTGTTGTTGTTGTTTTTTCCCAGTGGAAGAAACTCCAGAGCAGGTGTCTGTTGGTGAGGACTGTACCATACCAGAAGAAACTGAAAAGCAGCGTCAGGAAAGCACCACAGAAATTAGTATTACAGTAAAGGAGGAAGAACAGCAACCTCTCAATAGTAAGAATACACAACAGCAAATCCTACTGCTGATGAGTAGTCACTAACTGGGATGTGGGTAACTAGGTTATCTAATATCCCTCTTCCACTAGTATCTACTTGACTGGGCTCGACTCGGTTTTTAAGGTTTCCCATTAGGAGGTAGTACCTGGTAATCAAATCCGTCATTTTTGAAACCTGGCAACAAGGGAAATGGCCACACAAAAAACAATACAGTGGTACCTGAATCTGAGAAAAAGCCACACACTGAGCAGCATCATTTTGTCATACTCCTTTGGTGTGGCCTTTGGCGGACCTTTGCTGGACCTTTGCTGGACCTTCGCTGGTCCTGCTATAATGACTCCGAGTATACTAGGTGGTTCTCGATTGTAGTGGAAAACAACCAAAACCGAATCAAGTCGAAGTTGAGCCACGTAGGCACAAGTGGAAAAGGTCTATGTGTTTTATAAAGTGGCTGGGCAAGAATGTGTTCTTTATCCCAGCTTTAGAGCAGCATTAAGTAGCACTATATAGCAGTCGTTTAAAGAGGTGGGGGTAATTATAGGTTATTGTTGCACATAATTCTTCTGGGCTTTGACTTTCAATGGTGAAAGCTGTTGGGTGACAGCCTTCACTTTTAAAGCAACAACATCTTAAACCAGTAATTTTACTTTACAATGTAACAGGAAACTTGTTAGGTGTAATTTAGCTAAATATGATGCTTTTCCATTTTAGAAATAACGAATGGCAGACACTGCATCAAACTTATATTCCAACATACAATATCTAGTAGCTTTAACTTTTTGTTTGTTCTTTTTGGTGGTTTCAAATGGCTTGTTTTAGCTCTTCATATTTACATTTCCACAGTGTCTGGAAAAGATCCCGAGCGTGTTACAAACAGTGAAAAAGAATGCCCTCCATCACCGCCAGTGCGGGGAGAGTCAAATAACAACATACCAAAGAGCTCTTACTGCTGTGGCCTCTGTGGAAGAGACTGCCACAAGATGTCTGCGCTTCAGATCCACATGCGAATTCACTCTGGAGAGAAACCGTACCGCTGCACCTTGTGTGGGAAACAGTTCACCCAGAAAGGGCAACTCAAAGGTCACTATAAAGTTCACACAGGAGAGAAACCGTTTTCCTGTCCGGACTGTGGGAAGAGCTTCGCCCACTCGGGGGCCATGAACAGACATCGGCTCACGCACACAGGAGAGAGGCCCTACCACTGCTCCGTGTGCGACAGGAGCTTCAACCAGTCCGGCCGCTTGAGGGAACACGAGAAAATCCACTTAGGTGAGAAGTTTGACTGTCCTGAGTGTGAGAAGAGTTTCACACGAGCTTCAAGCCTAAAGAATCACTTCAGGCTCCACACAGGAGAGAGGCCGTACGGCTGTGACATCTGTGGGAGAGGCTTCAGCCGCTCACAAAGCCTGAGGCTCCACAGACGAAAACATGAGCAGATTCAGACCGAGGAGTCTGCGTTCAATATGAGGAATGATGACTTATCACACAGCGATGATAACTCTCCAATTAATATGTGCATAACAGACAAGAAAGATGGATGATGTATTTAAAAGACATGTACCTCTAGTATTATTAAGACTTCAGACAGTAAAACAGGAACAAGGTGATGTGGAAATAAGGGACTACCTCTGTGATTAGAACTTTATTCATACTTTTGTGTGGTTTTTCACACTAGGGATGTGCAGTCGGGCAGGCGACTACATGTTGCTTTCCTCACTAGTCATCGCAAGAAATGTTAGCGCTATAAGCAAAATATTCATATTTCTTAATGTATAATGCCAGTAAACTGTTCTAAGGTGTAGGTGTTATGTAGGAGTGTAGCCCCAGCAGCACGCCTCTCTTTCTTTCTGTGACAAGAACCTGAAAGCAAGCAATGTGAAAAACAAGCAGACGACAGACGCACTAACCAGTGCGGTATGGAAATATTTTGATCTTTTAAAAAAGCGAACAGCTGCGTGTAGGCCATGGCAGAAACTGCTACTGGAGCGGTGCATGAACACAGTCTGCACAGACGTGTGGACGTTTACCTGCACGGACAGAAACATTAGCCACACTTGGTAAACTAACCTTGTACACTAACGTTGTGTGGGCAGTGCTAGACACAGCTCAGCACACATTTCAGCTGCATTATGATATGGTTGAACATTTAAAGAATGTGATTAGCTGTTTTAAATGGGTCTCAAGTACACAAGCAGTATATGTGCGTCTACTAGACTGAAATTTTACTGTCACAAGTTTTTTTCTCAGATTGGTTGACTGGTCCGATTTTCTTTTCATTAGTTTTTTTCCCGAATTTACATGAAAATAATACTAACTTTAAAAAATGTAACTCCCTGAAGAGTGTAGACAGGCTTCTAAATAGATACACACCAAGTGATGTTCAGTAACACCAACCAAAAATATTTCTACTAATTTATGTAACATCTTGGAAAGTGTTTAAAATTCTATATATTGGAGGTCACTTTTACCTAACTCTGTCACTGATTACCTGTCCTGGAGCCACTGGAATAGTCCACTCACACTTATTATTATGAGTGACTGATTTAAAAGTCTGTGATTACACTTGTTTTTCATGCAGTATTTGTTATCAGGCTAATAGTGTATGTGGAAATTTGGTTGAAATTTTTTGTACTAAGCGTTATAGTGGCCCATTAAGCAGTTTAAGAATCAGGTGAATCTGAACCTTCTTTCAGACATTTAGCCAGAAATGAAACTAAATGTCATGAAATAATCAACAATGAAGCCAGTCTTCTGTAAGTGGCGAATGCTTATTAAGTCTTGTTTTCGATTGTTACTTATTAGCCAGATAACAATTTGGGTTCACCTGATTTTGTCGTCTTTTAAAGGCCGAGTAACCGACATGATTAAAGGTACCATCCTCTAATTCTGTGATGCTAAAGGCAATAATTTGAAGCCATGTAGGTGGTTAATTATGCCATGTGCTGCCTCTGTCTAAATGTATGGGACATGTCATGTTGAACAATAAAAGTTCTAAACACTACTTTGTTTGGGATTTCAGGGCCTGAATATGCTAGGGCAGGTTTAATATTGTAGTTTTTGCAAAGACCAGAACGATGCAGTTTATGGCAAACTTAAAAGAACCTTGCAGTGACAACATGTGGAATAAAGTAACATAATTACCAGCTACAGTGAACAAATAATATAATGCATATGATTCGGAAAAGCAACGTTCTACAGTGAGTGAGTATGTTTATTCTGGAATATATTTTGATCATTTAATTTGAGCCCCATTAAGCTACTTAAGCAGGACTGTATTTTTTACTTTATTTATTATTTTTATACTTTGCAAAGCAATTATCCAACACAAAATTCTGTTTACACTATTGTGCATCACAAGTTTCACAAATGAAAATCTGTAAATCATATTTCTCCACCTGAGACTAAAAATGTTTCAAATTGGGACAGCCATTTTTCTACTTTTTTTTTTTCTTTTTCTTAACTGATTTTCCTTTTTTTTCTTTAAATTTTTTTGTTTGTTTGTCTGTCCGATTCCTTGAAATTGGGAACATAATTTGAAATTTTGGGATACCAAGCTGAAATTTTGCAGTAATAACTTGAAATTTTTACTTATGTTTTTTTTCAGTCATGATAGATGTTGGTCATCTAATCGCCTTCACATATTGCCACCACTTTCACAGAAGTCCCAGCTGCTCCTAAAGGCAGCACCGCTGAGAGCAAGCTTTCTTCTGACCAGTGTTGGGAAACAAAAAATTACTAACATATGGTCGGTAATTTTTATTTTACCGACCATATATATATATATATATATCTCAACACGAGATATTTGTTTGTGGAGCATAAAGGCTGTATGCTCAGTTTGTTGGAGGGGACTGCGTCAAACGGAAGTTGTTGGAATTACGAGGTATTTTGAAAGCGCCGTAGAGATAAATAAACGCACACCGCGCCGAGCAGGCTGTGGTGGCAGAGGTTATTAACAGTACGAAAAATTTAGCTTCGTAACGCGTAATTTAAAGCTAACTTTGGGCTGTATATTGCACCTCTGCGCCTGCAGAGAATAAAGCATTTCCGGTTGGACGTCGCTAAAGGTAACACTCCTGTCTGTAAACGTTTGCTAAACTTAAGACTGCTGCTAAAGTAAGCTAACGCTAACGTACGTAACCTTAATGAAAAACAATAGCGTACCACTGTAGCAGGCTAGGGTGAACAGCTGTTTTATCTATTGCTTAACACCTGTAAATAAATCTCGAATGAACTTAGTACGTCTCCTAGGTGAACTTTGACATTCACGTGTATATCTACGCAGTAGCTAGCTAAAGGTAGCCACAAGTTGTTCAGGACCTCTCATTCGTGTGACTGGGAATAACACCGCAGCTTGGATTACGATATTAAAATATAAATTTCATTAAGTTCATTTCTTTGTTTATATAAGCTAATATAACTGCAGTTAACGCGTATTTTCCGCATGTGTGACCTTTACTTGAAGGCTAAACTTGCTGCAGTTCAAAATGCAGCATGCCCAGTATATTAATCACGGAACAGCTGGTGTATGGTGGTATTAGGCACATTAATTGTGACATTTATTACAGTTGAGTAAATGCCTAAATTTTAACCCTAATGCTTAATAAACATTAGACATCGCAGACACTGTAGTTTGTTTGTATATTTTTTTCATTGTACTCATTGCATTGAAATGGGAGAAACTAAGTTTCACTTCACTGTTTGTCATGCACTTCTTCCAGCAGCTTCACACAAAGGAAATGAATCGTGGCTGCATGTCTCGATTGACTTTGCTCTCCTCTGTCTCTCACTGTCATAGACTCTTATTGCCACAATGGTTTCCTACAAGAAGTTGAATCCTGAAGATGTCCAGTTTTCCAGCGCAGTTTTGTCAGAAGAGCCTGTTCAAGGCGAGGCTTCAGTGAGTTAGCTTGTGTTTATGAATCTGTTTGTCATTTTATAATCCGTAGAGGCTTACAATTTTACGTTTTAGTATATTATCTCTTTCATTAGGATGACTCACAAGAATTAGGATCTTTGAGGAAAGTCTGTATTTTACTGTATCCAGTGCTGAAACTGGATTTTTACTTCATTCCTGTGTTTCAAGGCGCTGGAGCCAGAGGACGCCTCATTGCTTCAACGTGGACCTTCATGCTCCGTCACCACGGGCCTCCTGGTGATCGGCTGCCTCCTGCTGGTGCTCTGTGGAGCATGGCTACTGGGTGCTGTGTTATGGCTGCACACTCCCAACCAACAGGAGCATAAACCGCCACTGCCGGGCCCAGGACAAACACCGGGCCCCAAAGTGCAAACATCAGCGAACGATACTGCTGCCTCTTTCCGCAGTGAGACATGCAGTCTGATACCAGAGGCGTGGAGGTTTGATTGCTACCCTGAAAGAGGGGTGGTTGTGACCCGAGAGCTGTGCGAGGCAAGGAACTGCTGCTTTATCCCTGCGTCCACCGCTTTCTCCTCTGCCAGTCGCCCGTCAGGGAAAAATGGAATCCCTTGGTGTTTCTATCCTTCAGAGTTCCCTTCGTACTCGCTCGTGTCACTAAATGACACGCTGCTGGGACAGAAAGCTACGCTCGTGAAGGAGGTGAAGACGTATTACCCTGGAGACATCCTCACCATAGAAGTGGAGATGCGTTATGAGACGGACAAGCGGCTGCGTGTCAGGGTGAGTAGAGGTTTCACATTTAGTCATGGAAAACATAGAAGGGCAAAATTTTGGAAACTTACAAGTTGATGAATACATTTTGCTCATGTTCATGTATTAAAGAGCCTTTAAAACTTATAATTCATGCTGCGTTTTTGCACTGATCTTCTGTTTCTGTGTTCATTTTCTTAATTGGAGGAAGCAACAGACCAATAAAAGAATTAGTCTGAGTCACACTGTAAGAAACCTAAATGTGGAAAAAAGATGGGCAGATGGACTTCCAGTGCACACATCTGTTGATTCTTGCTTTGCATATAAAACAAACATGTTGACCTTTGCACTGTGATAATTTTATTGATTAATATTCATGACAATAAAGATAAGAGAAACTACACCTGTCTATTACAGATGTAAGAAAAATTTGCTCTCCTTTGCATTGCATTTTTCATTTCATCAGGTTCAAATCTAATCCTGTAAATTTGCTTGATTAATTAAGTTGTTTTTTTTAAATTCTGATAAAATGTTTGTAACAATTACTGTCAGTTAACCACAAATTGTTCTCCATCAAGATCACCGACCCTTCAAGCTCACGCTTTGAAGTTCCCATCTCCGTCCCCACTGTCACCAACAAGACAGAAAGCCCAGATTATATCATCGAGCTCTCAAAGCAACCATTTGGTCTTGTGGTGAAGAGGCGCTCAACAGGAGCAGTACTGTAAGTCTGAGCTGAATGGGACATTCTGAAATGTGAGGAATAAAATATCTGATTCAGAGGGATTTTTTTCCACTTGCAGCTCTGTGTTGTAGGTCTCATTTGGCTTACGTTGAAGAAAAGGGCTGTAGTTAGATTTCCTCATTCATATACATATTGGATACTCTTAACTGTATATATGTATTCAGTTATGAAATAACAGTCTCATTAATGCTTGTCCAAATGTTTCCTGTTAGTCTGAACACCACTGTGGCGCCTCTCTTCTACGCGGATCAGTTCCTCCAGTTCTCCACTTCCCTACCTACGCAGTTCATTTATGGCCTGGGCGAGCATCGCTCCACCTTCCTGCACGATGTCCACTGGAACACGCTCACCATGTGGGCTAGAGATGTGCCTCCAACGGTAACCATCAGTCACAGACACAGCTGCTGTGTGATCCCTCAGATGTTCACGTTAATATAGTTTTTGTCAGTAAAATGATCAGTTAATTATTCTGTCTGATCGTCTTTGATACTTTGCTGCCATGCTCTCACGTTTGCAGTCAGTTCACAAAGCTGTTGCAGGCTGTCTTTGGAGGATGACAGGAGGCTGAATTAATTTTGTTAACTGGCTGGATAAAACTGCAGATTACATGAAATGTATTGTAATATCTTTGCATTCTTCTTCCGTACTGTAGGAGCAGACAAACCTGTATGGGGCTCATCCATTTTACCTGGCAATGGAAGATGGAGGGAACGCACACGGCTTCTTCCTGCTGAACAGCAATGCAATGGGTAAGTCTGTTAGTCACCCTAATACCTTCTGGTTTCACAATGTGCAATAGGTCACATACACAAACACTCAGGGACAGCAGAATAAAATGCTTAAGCTTACAAGTCAAGTTCACATGACAGCAGCTGACTAAGTTAAGCAATTTCATAAAAGCAGAAGTTACAAATGGACTTTCCAGTGTGTGACAATAAACTTCATATCATACTCAGATGTCATATTGATTATTCAGAGCTTTGCCAACACAAACTGTAAAACGATTTGCAATGTACTGAAGTTTTAATAAGATTTGTTTCATTTTGCCATTGAACTAAGTTATGTTGAAAATCACCTTTAGATTATTATACTCTGTTCTTTTCTGCGTTTGTTTTCTGTGTTGTTCTTTCACAAACTGAAGATGTAGTTAGGAAATGAGAATGATCAGCTGATACCTTACTCTAATTTCTTCTAAAGTGCACGTTTCTTTTGATGAAAAATGTCTCATCAGTTTCTTATCCGTTTTGTCAGACGTGGTCCTCCAGCCTACCCCGGCCCTTACCTGGCGTACTATTGGTGGGATCCTTGACTTTTACATTTTCCTTGGTCCTGATCCTGGTTCAGTGGTTCAGCAATATGTGGATGTTGTAGGTCAGTAGTAGCACTGTGATGAGATGCACATATATGTAGGCATGTGTACTGCACCCTGATCCATGTTTTCATGGGAGAAAACCTCAAAAATCAGACAACCACCCTTTGAGCAAACACTTGGCAAAAGTGGGAAGGAAAAACTCCCTTTTAAGTGCTCTACTGGGGTGATGCAGTACTATAGTACTATGTCAAGATAAGATGGAGCCTGATTATTCAAGACCTTGTATAGACTTATCACCTCGTGTGATAAGTAGGATTTTAAATTTGAGTTAGGATTTAACAGGGAGCCAATGAAGAGGAGCCAGTATAGGAGACATATTCTCTCTTTCTGGTCCCTGTCAGGACTCTTGCTGCAGCATTTTTGGAACAACTGAAGGCTTTTCAGGGAGCTTTTAGAACAGTCATATGAATGACAGTAGTCCAGCCTAGAAGTAATAAATGCATGAACTAACTTCAGCGTCACCCTGAGACAGGATAATTTTAGAGATGTTGCACAAATGGAAGAAAGCAGTCCAACATATTTGTTTAATATGTGCATTGAAGGACATGTCTTGGTCAAAAATGACTCCAAGGTTCCTCACAGTGTTACTGGAGGCCAAAGTAATGCCATCTAGACTAAGAATCTGGTAAGACAGATGATTACTCTGGAAATATCTCACATTATAAGCAGGAAATCTGAGGTCATCCAGGTTTTTATGTCTTCATGACATTACTGTAGTTTAATCAATTGCCATGTGTTATCTAACTTCATGGATAGATGAAGCTGGTTATGATCTGTATAGCAATGAAAATGTATTCTAGGCCTGAGAGAAGCATGTGAAATGTAAACAAACTGGTCCCAGCATAGAACCCTGTGGAACTCCATTATATAAATAACTCCAGCCTTTTGCCTCTGTCACCTTGAGTTTGTCCTGTTTTTGTTTTGAGAATCGCCGCTTTCTTTTCATCCATCTTTGTTGACACAGGATACCCAGCGATGCCAGTCTACTGGGCCTTAGGGTACCATCTCTGCCGATGGGGCTACGACACGAGTAATTCTACGTGGGAGGTTGTCAAGAGCATGAGGAATTATGGGATACCTCAGGTAATTTCTTTTGTAGTAGGTGTCAGTGTTTTTAGTTTTTGTTCTTTTGTAATTAACCCTAAACATATGCATTTCTCTTAAGTAGCTTTAGGATGAGTGAATTCATTTTATTATTAATAATAATGAGTCTGTTTAATCGCAGGATGTCCAATGGAATGACATTGACTACATGGACAAATTTATGGACTTTACATATGAATCAAAAAAGTTTGACACACTACCTGAACTGGTCAGGGACCTACATGCTCATAACCAACGCTACGTCATGATCCTGGTATGCAAACACACGTGTACTTGGTCTCACGTGTTTTGTGTCTGCTTTGGCATGTGAGTGTTTAAGTGAGTCGTTTATTAATCCTTCAGGACCCGGGGATCAGCAGCACACAACCCGAGGGCTCATACTGGCCCTTCGATGAAGGTGTAAAGAGAGGAGTTTTTATTAAAGATGCTGAAGGGAAAACGCTTATTGGGAAGGTGAGACATGAAGCCACACAACCACACTAACTGAGCCATGTTCTGTGACGCAGGATTAATGAGTTAGGGAAACATGTTGAGCCTAGAGCCTGTATATGATGGTGCTGGGCTTTCTTGTTCCAGAGTAGATTTAAGTATTTGTGAGCCCCACTTTTTCATTGATTCTTTTGCTGATGAAATAATCAAAGTGCACAGTAGATACTTAGCAAAGATGTTCGTTGTTGTGCGTCTTGTTTCACAGGAATTTTAAGCATAAATATGCCTGGGCCTAATCTGCTGCTAAGTCAGTATTGCTGTTATTAAGATGTTTTTATTGGTATTTATCACAGAGAATATTCATTCCTTCATTATGGAGGCCATGTCAGACCTGAATACACTTATCTAATGTTAATATTGAGAGTGCACCCAGGGGTAAAATAAATACTTTCACTGATGCATTTACAGGATTAACAGTTTTCTGAAACATTCCCCTCTTCTCTTCTCTACTTTGATGTACCTGTGTTGTGCTGTAATAAGTATTTACATCCTTTATCTCTCCTGCTGTTTCTCTTGACTGATTGGGCAGAACTTAATTGGTTCATTTTGTGCAGAAGATGCAAATAATGCATCAGATGCCTGCTTTTATTTTAGCATGCGCAGAAACCCCGGGCTTTCTTTGAAAGCTGCTAACTATCATTGTGATACCTGCTGTCCCAAATCAAATCCCCAATCAAAGAAAGCAGAGTTACACTGAACCAGCTTCTTACTCCACCAGTTCTTCGATCACTTAAACCCATGTAGACGTCACTGATTCAGAGGTTTTAATAGAAGTGTTCAGTGTCCTGACACAGAATGTGAGAATCCATAAACTTTCTGTCTTGAGCATGGAAAGCGACCTACTCCTGACCAGGTTATGTTAAACATAAGTTACCATGGCGATTTAGCAAGACAAAAAGAGAGCCCCGTTCATGTACCAGAAAACTCTGACTTTAGGCTCATCACAGCTCACTCACTCATTAATCTGGGCGGTACTACAGTAGCTACAGTATAGCTGAAAGCTTTTGAAAGTTCTCCAGCTTCATTAGATCTACATAATTCAGCTGGACCGGTTCTTAAGTGCAGCCAGGCGAGCCCAATAATAAATGAACATGGTTTTGAATGTTAAGCATGAATTTAAACTAAAATTCTTTCTTCCCGTTTCCAGGTGTGGCCTGGTCTCACGGCATATCCAGATTTCTCTGATGAAGTGACACATGAATGGTGGTATGACAACCTACAGATGTTCCACGATAAGGTGGCGTTTGATGGACTATGGATTGTAAGTATGAGAACAGTGCAGGCTGTTAAATAAGTAATCACTGACTCCTGCCTAGATGTCTCCTTATGATTATTTAAAGATCTGACAACACTTCACTTGGTTTTAGGACATGAATGAGCCATCAAACTTCCTGGATGGATCGACCAGTGGCTGCCCAACAAACAATCTTGAAAACCCTCCTTACACTCCAGGTAGGAGATTGGATCTACAACAGAGATCACACTACAAACATACAATACATTTGGGTTTCATGGGGTCTTCTGCTTTCAGGTGTACTGGGAGGTTTGCTGAGAGCCAAAACCTTGTGTGCCACCGCGCAGCAGAAGCAGTCCATACATTACAACATGCACAGTCTGTATGGACTGATGGAAGCTAAAGCCTCTGCAAGGTTTGATGCTCTCAATACTCAGATGTACACACGCAACGGAAATAAAACACTACAATACTTCTTCATTACACACTTTGTCTTGTTGTTTTCACTTCCTCTCTGTCCCCGTGTTCAGCGCTCTGAAGCGAATTGTGGCAAAGAGACCTTTCGTGATCTCTCGCTCCACCTTCCCCAGTCAGGGCATGTACTCTGGTCACTGGCTTGGAGACAACAGGAGTCAGTGGAAAGACCTTTACACTTCTATAGCAGGTCAGAAGTTCAGCAGATACAGATCATACACACTGATGCATAAACGACGACACTGTGGCTGATCTGTTGTCGTAAAACTGCTTATTTGAATTCTTGGATAATCTCTTCTATTATTTATCATTTTGGATTTGAGGATGTTTCGTGTGAAATTGTCCGTCTCATCGTTGGATATTTAACTCCCATTTCCTTCTGTGCAGGTATGCTGACCTTTAACCTTTTGGGCATCCCGCTGGTGGGAGCAGATGTCTGCGGCTTCAGCGAGGAGACACAGGAGGAATTGTGCGTCCGCTGGACTCAGCTGGGAGCTTTCTATCCGTTCACACGAAACCACAACGCCATCAGCATGAAGGTAAGAGTGTCCTCTTCAGTTTATCACTTACAGGTTTAGCTGTGCTTCTGAAAATTGTACTTATTTGTTTATTTATAGTTTCGTGATGACACCTGAAACTTTTACATCAGTGTTTGTTTTGTAGCTTGAGACGTCATTTGGAGAATCTAAACATGTAACTGCATGTCTACTAATGGATTCATTTTTCTATTTTGCATCTCCTACTGTGTGTGGGGCTTATTTCTGTGGTTTTACAGCCTCAAGACCCGACAGCTTTCAGCCCGCTTGCTCGCACAGCCATGAAGGAGGCTCTGCTGCTGCGCTACTCTCTCTTCCCTGTTCTCTACACTCTCTTCCATCACACGCATGTGCACGGACACACAGTGGCTCGACCAATAATGTTCGAGTGAGTAGGAATCCTAAAAGCACAGATTTTCATGTATTCCGTGTGTTTCCGGGGTGCATAACTTTACGTACTCAAAAGGTTTCCCAAAGACGTGAAAGCCTACGGCATCGACAAGCAGTTCATGTGGGGGAAGAGTTTGTTGGTGACACCAGTGTTGGATCCTGGAGTGGACTACGTGGATGGTTACTTCCCGGAGGGACTGTGGTACGACTATTACACGGTGAGACTCTGTGAGCGATAGTGCAAGGACAGAGCTTATGGTGACTTGATCAGAGTGCTTATATCATGTGTGTTCCTTTACTTCCCAGGGCGACTGTGTGACCAGTAAGGGCGAAGAGCTTCGACTCAATGCGCCTCTAGATAAGATCAACCTGCATTTGCGTGAGGGCTCCATTATACCAACACAGGTAAAAGGTTTTTCAGCTAAAACGGTCCTGTTACAATGCTGGATGCTCAAATTAACCATGGGCAGACTTTTAAATAGTACAGTCAGAATATGTGGCTGTAATCCCTGTAAACCTAAGAGCATCTTACACTGCAGTTTGTTTACTCGAACCAAAATCTGTCATAAAAAAAAAACATGTGAGAATGTTCAGTCTGCTGATTGGCCAAGTGCGTCTGAGGCGGGAGCAACAACAGTAAACAAAGGAAGTGTTCTGTGTTCTGGATGAGTAGAGAACATGGAGAATTTATGCTCATTTTACAGCTACTTGATTGGCCGTACTGACCTTCACATATGTATGGTACTCTCCCAGATCCCAGAATGCAAAGCATGACAGAGTGGGTACAGGAGCTGCTGTAGCCTAAACTTGCAGCGTGCACCTGCTAGTTTGTTCGGATAGAAGTTGGATCCTGTTCACACCATAAACAATCCACTCAGCAGTAAAAGTGGCAAAGTATAAGAGAACAAGGTGAAAGCTTTGCCTTTAACTCCAATATTATTATTTTTGCAATGAAATTTAGAACAAGTTTACCAAAGTTTGAAGGAAATTTAGGCTAAAATGGGACTTTTCACGCTGAAGCACTCAACTTTGCTTCACATTACCTTGGCCGAGGTGAGAATGCAAATGTCTGACTCAGACTGAACATCCAACAGTCTTTAACCTGCCAGCCGGTCAGTAAACCTTGTGTAGCAAGCAGCACAGACCATACTGCACTGTGTAAGGGGGAGGCAGCCCTACCTCGTCAGCTTTCTCGTCGAAACCCCACAGAGCGTTTCCAGAAGTGTCAGCGTGTCTGAAACAGACAATCTCCCGTTGTGTGCTAGATATGAAGGGAAAGCACATGCATATCTACACTTGTCGCCGATATCTATCAGTGCATATCTGGCAGGGGTGTCCAACTCCAGGCCTCGAGGGCCGGTGTCCTGCAGGTTTTAGATGTGTCCTTGATCCAACACAGCTGATTTAAATGGCTAAATTAGCTCCTCAACATGTCCTGAAGTTCTCCAGAGGCCTGGTAACAAACTAATCATTTGATTCAGGTGTGTTGACTCAGGGTGAGATCTAAAACCTGCAGGAAACCGGCTCTCGAGGCCTGGAGTTGGACAGCCCTGATACATGGTTTATTGGATTTTATTATTTGAACCTTTTGAAACCTCTGCATCTCAAACATAAAAATATAACATTTAATCCAAACACATTCAGATGTAATTCACACAAATTACGCCAAAAATTTTTGTTAAATTTTTTTTTGTGCTATAAACTATGATATCTGTGGCTCCATATGCTACCTCCTTGTGTTGGACTTTTGCCTTTTAAAATAACAAACAAACTCTAAGTCTGTGCTGAAAACTGAAGAATGCTGAAAACCGTGTGTGTGTGTGTGTGTGTGTGTGTGTGTGTGTGTCTGAATTTGTGATTCTACTGGTCAGACGTGTGTGTGTGTGTGTGTGTCTTCCACTTGATTCACATTCATGTTTTCTCTCTGTGTGCATGTTTGAACAGGCGCCCAACCTGACCCTGTGGGTAAGCACCGGTCAGCCTCTCCACCTCGTCTCAGCTCTCTCTCAAGATGGTTCAGCCAGTGGAGATCTGTTCTGGGATGATGGAGAGACCATCGACACCTACGAGACCAACCAGTACGCCTACATCATCTTCAGCATTGCTCAGGTGCTCACCTTCATCTATTTTGTAGAGTACAGTAATCTACCCTGCGTGTTTGCTCCTGTTTGCTCCAGCCTACTTTATCTGACTTCACACATCATGCCGCTGCTCGTGTAGATGAACTGTGTCTGGACCTGTCTAATTTAGCTGTGCTTTTCAGAGAATCTCACCCGTGTTGTTGAAAAATGGTTTGAGCTTTTTTTTTTATTACCTTATTTTGTAGAACACAATGACATCCCAGGTGCTCTCTAACCACATCGAGGCGTCATACATCACTGTGGAGTCGGCCTCCTTCTATGGTGTGAAGGAGAAGCCGAGCAGAGTGTTGGTGAACTCCCAAGATGCACCGTTTACCTACAGAAACAACCAGGTGAGGTTCTGAGTTATGTGGGGTATTTTTTGTTTTTAGGTTTGGAAAAAGAAAACGGTGACACATCATAAAAAAAAAACTTAAAAAGACTGACAGGGCAAACAGAGAAGTGCACATGGTGAATCAAGCCTGCAAAGCATCACAATTATGTCAACAGAGAGAAGAAGCGAGTCTGAAATCAGTTTCTCATGACAGCGACCTTTCTCAGTTTAACAGACTCCACAGCTGGAGACAACCACATCAGCAGCACAACAGAGCACTCAAGTATCTACTGGGTTTTCCCACCTTTGCAAAAGAGACACAACCATTGCCATGGTGTTCTGTAGCTTTAATGCAGACAGCAGATAGTGTTGGCTTTGGTTTCACATGAAGATATTCTCCAAACAGTAATGATGCTTTCCTTCCTCTCTGCAGGTGTTAACAGTCACTGATCTGGGTCTCAGCCTGAGTCAGAACTTCACCATCAGCTGGATGTAAGCAGCTGTGAAGCCACAAGCTTGCGCAGCGCACCATCTCCAAGAATAAGAACAGCCATTTCTTTCAAATTATTTTGGCTCTTGACTCAAAGACACTCGATGCGAAATAGGGATGTCGGGTAATTTACTTCATTGATGGTCGTCGCCCTTTAAAGAGCAGTATTTCACTTAACTCTTCAAACCTTTCCTTGGGATATGCCTGTATAGCTCTGCAGCAAGCGTAGAAATGAAATCACTGGGGCTCAACATTTTCACCATTCAGATGTCCTTGTCAGTGTTTCCACATCTGCATTGGGTGTCTTGCTCGTAGGCTTCGTAAGGGAGGGATTCACTTAAAAAAGATCACAGCTGCTGACGTCAATGCAAACGCGCTTGAATACAAAGGTTGCGTGAATGTTAAGAGTTTATACCCGATGATTAGGAATAAAGAGCCAAAGCAAAGGGTCCGTCAGTTAGGAGTGAAATTTAAGGTACTCAGGAGCGAGGGGGTCATATTGTAGTGTTAATATCATCCTAATGCAGGCTTTGCACAATTAGACAAAATCGCCTTCCTGTGCTCGGCATGCTTTGAAAAGCTTGTCATCACTGACCAATAGCAGTTTAGACGCAGCTTTAATGTCTTTGGAAGACCACTCTCTTTGTGTGGATCTGATTTATATTATAGTTTGGTCTGGGTAGTCTATACTAAGTTAATGTAATCAACACTGCATTTTTAATTTTACTTTTGTTCCCTTTTTTAAGTCCTCGTGAGCAGAAAAATGACGTGCAATAAATGAGTGAGATAAAATTAGCTTCCTTAAAATGTGACAGCATAGTTCATCATGTAGTTTGTTCCATGTGCTTGAAAGTTGTTTACAGTCTGTTTTGCACTAATTAGTACTGCAATATAGGACAGGTGGGTGTGCCTTATGATTCCTTTTCTTCTTTTTCTTTGTTTTTAAGCATCTCTGCTTTATAACGTCAGCCCCTTTTCAACGCTGAAGACCGTATTACTGTTAAACACAAGAAGGACTTTGCTGATTGCAAGTGTTGTACAATCATTTTACTGTGACTCGTCACTCTGACAGAGCAGAATACAAATGAAAGCTAAAACTTGTTTTCCTTGTCTTTAGATCAGCACTGTTCATTTCTGCCTAAATTTGAAATTGATTTAGTACATTTGCCGTGAATTAGTATTTCTCACGGATTCTTGTAGACAACACTGGAAAAGAATATGCTGACAACGACATGAATGCGTGTTCGTGTGATGTACTCATACTTCACCAAGTGTCACCGACAGTTTGCAGTATTTTATTTTGAAGGTATTATAAATTTTATGTGCTCAAATTGAATTTCAGTTTGACTTTTATTTGAGTGTAACATCAGACAATAAAACATTTCAAAATAAAGAGACTTCCTGTTTTATTTGTTTGTGTTTTAACTTGATGTACAGTTTTGAGGCCTTCTCTTATAAAGTAGTGAACAGATGTTTTTTGTATTGCTTCTTGAAGTGCTGAAGTAAACTCGCCAGCAGAGGGCACGGTCTCCCAATGACCAGGACAGGACTAAGCAAAGTACATCCTATGTTCAGTAGGTTGTAGAATCACATTCAACAGCAAGAACTTGAAGTAATCAGTTTCTCTGTAACTTTATCAGTCTCGCGTCATGTTGGAGGAATGCTGTCCCACTCGTTGCAGAGTTACTTCATTTCATAGAGATATGTGGACATTGGTTTATGCACAACTCTCACAGCATTGGAGTCAGCTGAGGTATTTGGCTGAATCATTGAAACACCTTCATCCTTCTGTTTCTCACCTGTCCTGTTGCAGATTTGCTGCTGTCATCAGGATCATTATCCTGTTGCATGACCTAATTTTGGCCAAGCTTCGATTGTCAGATAGACGACCTCACATTTGACTCTAAAGTCCTTTGGTATACAGAGGAGTTCAAGGTCAACTCAATGACTGTTAGCTGCCCAGGTCCTGTGTCTACAGAAGAAACCCAGATCATCACCCCTCCACCACCATGCATCACACTTGTTCTAAAGTTTTGTTTTTCAGCAACTCTGTTGCTGTACACTAAAGCCAAAAATCTCTACTTTGGTCTTGCATGTCCAAAGAAAATTGCTCCAGAGGTTTTGCTGTTTGTTCAGACACAATTTGGCAAACCTAAGCTGTGCTGCCATCTTCTGACTTCTAAATAAGTCACACTTGTTCAAACCTTTTCCTGATTTAACTATCATGAAGTTTAACATTTAGCATGCTAACTGAGGCCTGTAGATTCTGATATAACAGAGTAGCTCTTGGGTGTTTTGCAGCTTCACTGAAGGTTGCACAATTGTGCATCTGCCAGAGAACCTGCTTTTATAAAGGTACTCACACTTGCTGATGATCACCTTATCAAGTGCATTTGATCAGCACCACCTGGCTGCTACTTACCACCTTAATTATTATGGAAGCAGTAAAGGTGTGCTTATAAGGGACTACAGAGTCCTGTGGAGTCCTTTTCTTCCACATGACTGTAACTGTGTAATTGCCACTCTGGCAACAGAGGATGTTTCTGACACACTTTGTAACATGAGAAGAAAATAATACATTCTCACCCCTCAAAACCTCACCGGGAGTAGCACTTTATCACCAGCAAATGTTCAGTAAGAGTCATTGCACATTGAAATATTTCTTATCAGGAAATGACAATTGTTCTTAACTGAAACTGTGAGCTGTACGGTTAATGTTTACCTTATGCTTATTCATAGTTTGAGTGTAGCTATAAACAAGGTTGAGATCTGTGTATGTGTGTTTGTTCAAATTATAAGGCCACTCTCCTGTTCCTCCTCTTATTTTCTCATCCTGCTGCTCTGCTTTTTCCATCTCTTTCTCTGTAATGCTGTTTCCCTTTAAAACCCTCATTGCATCTACGGACTAGACTAGACTCTCCACTCTATGAAAGTCAGAAGTTATTTACGGTAGATAACAGTCTCAGGATGTCCATCATTAAGATACCGGGGTCATCTGAGGACTCTTATAAATCATTTTGACTCTTAAGAGTTGCATGTTCTAGTACGTGTTTCTCACCATAACAAACTAACTGGAAAACATCATGGAAAAGGAGCCCTGACGCTACGCCAGACCTTTGACCGGATCTCTGAGTCATGACAGTAAACTATTGCTTCGTTGTACCAACAAAAGCTCCAGAAAGTGAAAGTAACAATTGCATGCTGAAATTGTCCTCCATTGCTGATAAACTAGGCTTGCAATAGATGTGTTTTTATTGGCTGTGTGGAAATGTTCACAGGCTAACTGTTTCCAGATGGGACTTTGAGGAGAGCACATATATCATTCAGCAAAAGGGGGAGGAGAGAGAGCTCAGAGAAAGAGCAGCAGGGGTCTGTCAAAAGCATTCAGCTCTACTGACGAGGGCATTTCCTGTCTGGATTTGGGAGGATTAGGCATTCATGCGTAGGGGGGTGTTTGTATGCTTTGCATGTGGAGAGTGGGACCAACACACAAGACTTTTTGTGGGATTCTTGTCCGTGTTTGATGTGTGCAACTTTGCTTGTAGGGCAAACAGTGATTTAGTGTCAGTTGTCTGAGGAAGAAACTTGGAGCTGCTAGATTGTGTTCCAGTCGGGCTTTTCTGAATTTCTGCTTTGTCACATTAAAGTTTTGCTGTATGCTACATAAAGCAGAAACTGAATTTAAAATAAACTAGCAGTGTTACTGAGAAGGCCTTGTTGCGTATAAAAAAAAAAGGAAGAAAAATCTGGAAAGTCATAAAAAGAAGTTAAATGCAGCTTCATTGTTCACTTCGAACGTTCCTTTGCAGCTTGCGGGAGATATTTTTAACAGTAAGAGTTGCTGACATGGGACAGAGACAACACCAAGCTCTTTTTTTTTTTACTGCACTTGCATTTGTTTCCAAGACACTTGACCCGTTGCCTACTGGTGGTGGTCAGAGGGTAGCTGTGGCTGCAATGTAGCTTGCCATCACCAGTGTGTGAATGTGTGTGTGAATGGGTGGATGACTGAATGTGTAAAGCGCTTTGGGGTCCTTAGGGACTAGTAAAGCGCTATATAAATACAGGCCATTTACCATTTTTACCATATTTCTGTTCACTCTACAATGCTGGCTATTATGTGAAGTCTTGTTTTTTGACCTGACTCTAAAGATTGTACAGGTTTCTGTGCAGTTTGTTTTCAGCAATGAAAAATCAGAAAAAAGAGGAAAGAAAGTCACACATGGACGAGCCTCTGTGCTGTTTAGCATGTCAAAAATGTTGCATGTTAATGCTTCACTCACCTGACTTTCCTGAAAAGGAAAGTAGATTAAATTAGTAGATTTTGACTGATGGTAGACGTGCATTGAGCTAAATCTGACCTGGTGGTGCTATGAAGGCACCGTGTTTCACACACAGACACATTAAAGTTGGATGTGTAGTATGGTAGGTCTGAAAAGTGAAGCCTTAAACTTGCATTCTTTTGGTTTGCCAGCATATGGTTGCAAAAATTCTTTGGGTTGTACTGAGGTTTTACAAAAACATGGCATTTTGTGGTGGTATGGATCAAGCCAGTACAGCCTCAGACACACCGGCCTAGAGACTGGTCTGCAACCACTGCTTGTGAGGGAAAATGAGTATTCCCTGACTGTTTGCTGGAGGTTGATGGCAGTCACTAGAGAAATGACTGATAAACTTCCAGTTACACAGGTCTACAGACCAGTAATGGATCACCGCCTGACAACTACCTGTTGATAAGAAAAATGTGTTTGCTAAATAGTCAGCATAAATTTCCCTATTTTTGCTGTCGCTTGAAGTGTGTATGGAAGTGACGAACACTACAACTACTCCATGAGTTGTAGTGTAAAATACTACGCACAACAGAAATGGGCACCTTTTGGCTTTACAGTAAAATTTGAACTTTTTGAAAGATCCCTGCTGTAGCCCTGAGGTGCAGCGTTTACTTTGAAGGCTACCATTCTACATTTCTGTCTTGCTCCGAAACTTTTCAAGATTTACTTCTGCTCAGCTAGTAGTTAACAAGCCTTTGTAGACAAACATGGAAACTGCATTCAGCCGTGTCAGTCAGCTTGCAGCCAAAGCTATCGCAGTGAGGTTTTTGGTGCAGCACCTCCTTCACAACTGGTTTCACACAGCCAGAGCCAGCAACTTGCCAACCTTTCCAGTCTTGGAAAATACGCTTTTCCCAAGGAACCAGTGGTTTGGTATCATGTCCAACATGGCTAACAACTCTTGTAGTCTTCAGGAGAAGTTTAAGGAAAAAGGGAATTGGCTTTCTTGCTCTTTGTCCATGGTAAACACTTTCCATGGGCTCAGTCACTAGTTTGCTTGTGGATGCATTCATGGTATCGCGTGAGAATCCCTCTGATTCACTGCAAGATATTTCAATCAAAACCAGGAATGTGAATCTTGTGCTGGCAGCAGATAAAAGTTTATTCTCCAAAATATCACCTGGCATCAGAAACGTATGTGAAAGTTAGGGCTGCTCCAAGTATTCTGCGGGTTGTTGTTGTTACTCAGGGGCTGTCAGTTTATTTTGGTAAGACTTTGAAATCTGGTCTTGCTCAAAGGTGTGTTGAAAACTGCTCGGTGACAGTTAGCCCAACATCAAGCCAAGTGTTTACTTCATTATCAGATTTTGTCTCCTTACTTTTGCTTTCTGTTTGCCCTCTGCTATGTGATTCATGCTCACATTGTATCACATCATCTGCTCTCTGCACAAGCCAACTTTAGCCTGAAAGTCCAGTAAATTCCACCTATCAAGCTGAAAGATTTCCTTGATGGTCTGAAGCTTGGATTCATTATTCGTGATCTGAATGGCATCCATTTAACTGTTCCCGTGAAAAACTCGTATGCTGCAGGCAAGCAGCATCTAACTGTGAAATTCAGAAGAAAAAAAAACCTATTTGACCTCAAACAGAGAGAGGAAAAAGATGATTCAACACACATGGAGTACATACAGCTGACTTCCCAGAAAATCCTCTTCATGGGAAATAGTAAGCCAAACTAGGGGTGGCTGTAGCTCAGGAGGTAGAGCAGGTCATGTGCTGATCGGAAGGTTGGTGGTTTGATCCCCGGCTCCCCCAGTCTGCATACCAAATATCCTCAGGCAAGATGCTGACTTCCCAAGTTGCTCTCTGATGCATCCAGCACTGAAAACCATAGAAAACAGTGCTTATGTGAATTGGTGAATGTGGCATGTTGTATGAAGTGCTTTGAGTGCTCCAGGAGAGTGGAAAGACGCTATATAAGAATCAGTCCATTTACCAATTAACCAAAGCAGTAGTCAAGAAAATGAAAGTTTGGTTCAACACAAATTGTAAGTGTAAGAATATAACCCTTTTTTAAATGTTAAGTTATGCCAATGAATGTCTGAGACATGT